TCGTGCCCTGTCAACACATGGAGGTCCTGAAAGACTTAGTTTATCCGTATCATCAAGTTGGTTCTACTCTGATGAGGCAGCTCTTTCCCAGTCCTATTTTGAGTCCCTTTGGACCTAAGGGGCTCCTCCTTCTGCACTGTCAGACAATGTTTCTGAGCTATTCATAAACTTACCCAGTAATGTATCAGACAGTGTTTCTCTGCTATTCATAAGGTTTTCCCTGGCCAATTTTTGAGAAGTAGATGGTCTCCTCCTTCTTCCTAGTCTGTCTTAGTCTGTAAGGAGCACGAAACCTGTTCACCATGTGAAATTCTGCTAGCGTCTGAAACACCAGTGGCACAGCCTCAAGCCTCACAGCAACATACAAGCCCCACAGAATAACAAAACTGACAGACAAGTTTGTCTCCCTTAGCTGTTGGAAACCTCTGCACCCTCCCCTTAGCTAATTCCTACCTGGAACCTGCCACTTTGTGGTCCCTGGCCACTGCCTCCCTTTCCTGGCTCTAGGCGGCTTGGAGCCTAGCCTTGTTTCCTACCCCTTTTACCTGGATATCCTGGTGCTCCACAGGTCCTCAGCCTCTCCTGCTCCCTCCCTTTCCTGGCTCTAGGGGCCTTGGGGCCTAGCCTGTGAGGTCAGTTTAAACAGGGCAGCCCTTCTTTTTAGTGGCCAGTTAGTATGTTCTAAGGCTTTGAGTATTCATTCATTCAAAAAATATTTATTGAGGACCTAGTCTATTCTAAAACGAGCTAGCTCTGGTAATGTAATGCCTAAGGCATTTGACTTTTAACCAGAAGGCTGGTGGTTCAAACCCACCAGCTGCTCTGCAGAATGAAGATGGGGCAATCTAGTTCCATAAAGATTTACTGCTTCAGAAATCTAATGGGGGTTGCGATGAGTCAGAATCAACTCAATGGCAGTGAGTTTGGTGGGGTTTTTTGTTTGCTTGTTTGGTTTGTTTTTTAAATTCTATTCTAGGCACTGTTTTAGGCCCCTGGCATATACTAGTGACTCCACCCTGAGTTCCTGGGGTTCCCAACCTATTTTTGATGTTGTGAAGAGCATCAAAGACTATGATGTTGCTTGCTGTCTCTGGATCCCAGTCTCACAGCTGATGTGCAGAAACATGGCTCAATAACAAGCCATCAGTCCTATGGGTTGTCATAATTAGAAAAAGCCAGCTGTCCTAGTGTTGAAGAGAAGAAAAGACACAACTACTCTCATTCAATTGGGTTCCAATTCAGAACATTACACACACCACAAGGACACAGTGAATCTCCCACTACAGTCACATCTATTTCCCCTCACACATACACTAACATGCTCACAAAACCATGCCTCTTCCCCACACACCCACCACAGTCCCAACTCTCCATCCTCTCTTGCACCATACCCATCCTATACATCATACACAGATAACCTACCCCTCTGCTATACTCTGACACCCCATACCACCCAGGCATACTTAGCACACACATACATTCATACAACAGACAGTTACTCTCCAACACCACTGCTGTTCACACATCAGCACACTATTTTTCAGATATTCACACAGAATTCCCAAATGGTATGAACTGTGCACATTTGTACTCTGTTCTAGTTACTTAGTTCTGACAGGAATATGCCACAAATGGGATGGCTTGAAGAAACAGGAGTTTATTCTCTTACAGTTTGGAGGCTTTAAGTCCCAGTTCAAAGTACCAGGCTCTAGGGGCTGGGTGAAACCCCCTTGACTTTGGGCTTCAGCTCTGCCTCCTGCTCCCGGCCCACTGAAGCTAGAAGCTTTTCTTCACTGAGACAGCTGCTGTCTGCTGAGGCTGACAAGCCCAAGGTTGACAAGTACAAAGGCACAGTCCTGATGTTACCAAACCACATGGCAGGCCATTAATTAAGTCCATTGAAAGTCCCAAGCTCGACAGAGCATAGCAGGCTGCTAAACAATGACATGGCTACACGCAGGGTTCGAGTGTGCCATAAACTAGAGACCATTCCCAAAGCTGCTGCTTATATATGGGAAGCAGACCACATACCCAAAGCAGCTACTCAGCTGCTCCAATAGATTCCACCATGGACTTAATTACCAATCTCACCATGGAGAATAACTGCATTCAGCTGCCCAGTCACTCAACCAGACCAAGCCAAGCTGACACACAAACTTAACCACCACGTTGCCTAAACCCAGTTCTCTCTTCACTTGGTCTCAGCAGTAGTAGGGACCCAACTGGGTCATCCTGAAAGGTCATTATAGCAATAACCCACTTGCAGTTCATCTTTCAGCCAATCCCAGTAGTCACCTGTGGCCTAGAAGCCTGGAGGACAAAGGCTAGGAATGGCAGAGCTGGTGAGGAGGTCCTTATTTCAAGACCTAGTGAAAAATGAGAAACGCTCATGGCGTTATCTGTTCCACTTTCACAAGGGTTCTAGTATGGCCTATGGACATGTTCTTTTCACCCAGATTTTGAAGCTTCCTGTCCATCACTTAGACAATCCATGAACCCTACCCAACACATAAGGCCTTATTTTCCTTTCTTACCTTCTAACATACTTGTTCCAGACAAGCAGGCAGACATGCTCTAAAGATTTGTCCTGGGGCCATAAGAAACTGAGTTACTTGCATAATGGTACCCACAAATATCAAAGAAGAATTCAATTAGGAAGATTCCCCACTATTGTTAACCTTCCCATCATAATCCCAGCAAGGACCTGGCTTCTCTCTCACCTGAAGACAAAGAAGCTGAAAAGAATTCTCTTTTGGAAGACTATATAAACCTAGGTACTTACATCTGCTCTGAACATCTCTGGAAGTATATACAAGAGATGTATATAATGGTGGTTGCCTCCAGGGAAAAAATGGTGTGGAATGGGTGACTGGGATATGAGGAAGTAAAGGAAATTTACTTCTCAATGTGTCTTGACAAACAGTAAGATTTCTTATCTATCTTATGCTATGGATTGAACTGCATCCCCAAAAAGGAAATGTGAAAATCCCAATTCCTATACCTGTAAATATGGCCCTGTTTGGTAATAGGAGTTCTCTTTCGCTATGTTATTGAGGTCATGCCAGAGTGGGGGTAGGGCTTAAACCTAATCCCTTCTGACTGGTATTTTATTAAAAAAGGCACAATAGACATGAACACACACAGGAAGACAGATCATATGAGGGCCCATCTACAAGCACAGGAATGCTGAGATTGCTAGCGGACAACAGAAACGAGGAACAGAGGCCTACAGAAGGAATCTACCCAGTTGAAACCCTGCTTTAGACTTTTAGTTTCAAGAACTTGGAGAAAATAAATTTGTTCTTCAAAGCCAGCCACTTACATAGTAACAAAAAGTTATAGCAGCACTAGTTAACTAAGACATCTTACCTTGTGGTTTGATTTTTGTGTTGCTTCTCACTTCTTTTCTGCTATCCCTTAAACATTTTCTAATAAGGATATATTTACAGATTTTGTTTCTGTTTTGCAGGCAATCACTAGGTTACTAAGAGCACCTTTTACATCTCACTCAGGTTGCTCTGATTTAATAGGCCAACGTCTTCCTCATTATGAACTTCTTTCTCATTCCAGTTGTGTAATCCCTGTGGCTTGTTAGTTTACTCCCTGCTTTGCAACAGAAAGATCTAGAACCTTCCCATTGATAAAACCTTCAGAGTATCTTCCTGCCAGGCCACCAGCATTCCTGTCGTGTAAGTAAAAAATATCTGGATCTGACGAAGTAAAATCTTCATGGATATTCATCAGTTAGGAGTTGTGGTGGCATAGTGCCTAAGGCATATGACTGCTTACCAGAAGGCTAGTGAGTTCAAACCCACCAGCCATTCCTCAGAAGGAAGATGGGGCAATCAACTTCCATAATGATACCACCTCGGAATTCCAAGGAGGGGTCCACTAAGAGTTGGATCTGACTTGATGGCATTGAGGTTTTTTTTATTATTATTCATCAGGCAAGAAAACAGGTACAAATAAAGGCAAAGTAACAGAATGCAGTATTTCAGCCAATGACAAGCTGCCTCTGTAAAGTGTCGTAATAACGCCTCTTCTCTCAGTGACTACTGCTTTCTTACTGAGAAACTTTGTTCTCCAAAATCAAAGACTTTTAGGAATTTTGCTGCTTGGAATTCTATCTGTAAGATGAAACATCCCACCATTATTGCCTAGAGGATCTAAGTCACTTTACCACCAAGAAGCAGCCTCAATTTACAATCCAGGTGCAAAGCTTCAGAAAAGGAGTTTGTAGACATTTTTAAAGAAACAGGACTCTAGATCCATGGTGCAGTCCAGGACTGAAGTTAATCCCTTTACGTAGACCTACTTTGCATCTATCAAAACACTGTTCCATTTAAGTTTCATCTGAATTCCACACTTCCTCAGAATCCTACAATAACTCTCTCTTCTTGTGTTTGGTGAGATGCCTCAGTTTCTCTAGTGTGCAATATCTCTCATTGCAATGAAAACAACAGATCTGATTTTGTTGTTTGTTCCTGGTTGTCTTAGGCTGACTGACTGGGCTTAGACATTGTTTTGCTCAGCTTCCAAAAAAAACCAAACTCACTGCCATCAAGTGGATTCCAACTCACAGCGACCCCCTTTGCGTTCCCAAGGCGGTAAATCTTTACAGAAGTAGATTACCTAGTCTTCCTTCTGCGGAGTGGCTGGTGGGTTTGAACCACCAACCTTCTGGTTAGCAGTCAAATGCTTTAGGCACTACGCCACCTGGCCTCCTAAAATTATAAAGTTTGAAAATAGACATAACACAGTTTTTCATTGCTAAACCAACATGTACCTGTCCTAAAGACTACTGTGCCAGGTGGGTCATATCTGGGGTTTGTTCACTTCTCGGAAAAGTTACAGGAACAAGGAAGGATGTCAAGGTTCTAGGTAGGTTCTGGTTCACTTCTTGAACATACTTGAGTTCTTTCTCGACGACAAACATTCCCTAGTGACTGGGGGGGTGGGGCGGAGAGGGAGACATATCTACTCAGCTGAAGCTGTCAGGAATGCTGCTGGGTCCAGCTGACTACGAGTACACAGCCCTGGGCACGCCGACATCCGCTGGGACCCTAGGACACTGCCGAAGAGTGAGTGTGTTGCTGCCTTCTCCCGCGCCAATAACTGGGACCCATGTTATCAGTCGGCCCGGCGACCCCTGACAGATCTGTGGTAGAACCACTGATCTGCAGATCCTGCTAAACTCAGGAGCACCTTCCGACTGCTAAATTTGTTGCGGATACAGACCACGGCTCGCGCTTCATTAGAGGAGGAGGGAAGGGCGTTCCGGCGTGGGGTGGTCTGCGGGTAGAGACTGGAAGCGCTAAGAAAGCAGGTCTAAGATGCGGTCTTGGTTACTCGCATTGTCCTCACGTGCTGCCCTTCCTTTCCATGATTGGACGAGCAGGGAGGGCCTTCCGGAAGAGATGTAGCCTCCCAATCCGAGCCTTAAGTAGGCTTTGGTCCAATTGTCGGCTTCTGACATCTGTAGTAGGCAGCAAATGGTATTTTGCGACCTCCCGAGGCTGACAGGCTTAGCTTAATAAATTACATTGCAGTTATACTCAAAAAACAAACTCACTGCCTTGAAGACGATTGGACTCATAGAGACCCCTTCTTGGGTTTCCCAGGCGGTATCTCTACGGAAGTAGATATAGGTTAGGGGACACACAATGCTTGAGAGAAAAAGTTAAAGAACTCGTATTAGTGAGATTAGCTTTACACTTGAATGTAAAGCTAGAGAGTTTGGACTTCATCCTGTAGAAAAGGTGATAAGAATGGGCATTTGGAATACTTTAAAGAGGAGGAAGGAAGGTTGGGGGAATCTACTTCTGTAGTGATACCGCCTTAGAAACCCAAGGAGGGGTCGCTATGGGTTTGGGTACAACTCCACAGCACATGACAACAATAACAACAATATAATCAAATAATGCAATTCAGAAATAGTGTCCATTGAACCACTTGGGGAGTTTGTTTTTAAATACAGATTCCTGCCCCTCATTATCTAGATGTAGAGCCAGAAAACGCCACTCATTTTTTTTTTTTTTAAACCTAGCACAGGTTTTGGGGAAAAATGCACAAGTCTGAAAGGTAAACCAAACCATGTGTTACAGAATTGGATCTTCTTGGTTGTAATTCTTATAGAAGCAGATCAGCAGTCTTTCTTCCACAGCTCCACTGCGTGGTGGAGCCATCAACCTTTAGGTTAGTAGTTGAGCTCAAACCATTTGTGCCACTCAAGCACCTCAAAATCAGAAAGATACAGCTTCAAATTTTCACACTTGAGTATAAGATGAAATATCAGTAGTTCAGAAGCTCCTCTCTTCCCAGCCCCTTCTGCCTGCTCTAAAGGTAAGTGTGATCACTACTTTTAAAAATCATAGATTAGTATTGCCTGTTTTAGGACTTTATATAAATGAAATCATACAGCACTACTCTTTCCGTCTGGCTTTTTCAGTGTTATGTGTGAGATTCATTCATATGTTCCAGGCAGTTGTTTACTCACTGTCATTGCTGTAGGCTATCATAATTTATCCATTCTCTTTCTTATGGGCCTTTGGGTAGTGTCCAGCTTGGAACTATTGGGGAAAAAAAAAAAAAAAAAAACTACTGTAAACATTCTTATTCATGCCTTTTGCTTTGTATATTATAAAGTAAGATGTTGTTGTTGTTAATTGCCAGTGATTGGCTCCGACTTACAGTGACCCATGTACAACAAAACAAAACACTGCCTCATCCTGCACCAGCCTCACAGTCCTTACTGTACCTGAGCCTATCATTGCAGCCACTGTGTCAATCCATCTCGTTGAGTTTCCCCTTTTCCACTGACCCTCCACTTTTACCAAGCATGATATCCTTCTCCAGGGAATGGTCTCTTCTGTCAACATGACCAAAGTAGATGAGATGAAGTTTGTCCATTCTGCCAAGGAGCATTCTGGCTACGCTTCTTGCAGGACAGATTTGTTACTTGTTCTGGAAGTCCGTGGAACTTTCACTATTCTTTGTCAACACCACAACTCGAAAACATCAATTCTTCTTCAGTCTTCCTTATTCATTGTCCATCTTTCACATGCATGAGGTGAGGCCTAAAGATTAACTCATTCATTACCCATTTACTGAGACCCTACCAAGCACTGTGTTAAGGTCAGGAAAATAGAGAAAAAAGCCAAGGTACTTACCTCATGGAATTTATATTCTAAGTGGCACAAAGCTGCAACAACTCAAGTAGGCAGAAAAAATAAGTGATTGTAATTGTGGTAATAACTGAGGGAACAAAACGGCCAAGCTAGAAAATAGGGAGGGAGAGTAATCAACTCTTTACACAGTTGTTGTTGTTGTTGTTATGTTCCGTCGAGTCGGACCCAACTCATAGCGACCCCTCCTTGGGTTTCCAAGGCGGTATCACTACACAAGTAGCTTGCCCAACCTTCCTTCCAAGGAGTGGCTGGTGGGTTTAAACTGCTAGCTTTCTGGTTAGCAGTCAAGTGCCTTAGGCACTATGCTACCAGACCTCCCCTTTATAGGGTAGCCAGGTAAAATCTCTGAAGAAGAGATATCTGGAAAAAAATGCACCAAGCAATGAGTATGAACAGAGGGAAAAGCATTCCTGGTAAGAGAAACATGTGCAAAGGTGATGGGACAGAAGAGATCTTGGTCTGTTCAAGACCAGTGTGGCTCAAACAGTGTGAATCAGAGGAAGGAGGGTGTGATTGGCTATAGGGTCTTAGGATGGTGGGCCTGGTAATCAGAGTAAGTTTAGATTTTACTCTTGATACTGTGGAAAGCACTTGAAAGGGGATCTATGTAGGAGATCCTTGATAGAGAAGGAGAACAATGTGGAACAAAACTCAAAATCATTTGGAGGAAAAAAAAGGGGGGGGACCAGGTTTGCTGATCCGATAGAGCCTGGTGGAACCACTGAGACTATGGCCCCTAGCTGCCCTTTAGATTTGGAATTGAACCCACACCTGTGGTTTCCAGCCAAACAAAAGACAGGCATATGAGTTGAACATTTACCTCAAGTAGATACACTCTTTGGAGAGAACAATCATGGGAGAAGGGCTGCATATGCACAGGGAGACAGCTCAGGGGGCATGAGTGCATGGGGGGATGGACAGTAGGAGGAGGTAACTATGGGGAGGAAGTGGGAGGGGAACTGTTGCATTGTGGTAAACTGTGGTCAATGTCATGAGACAAAGTATATGTGAACCGCTGTATGGAAAGTAAATTTGCTCTGTAAACCTTCACCCAAATCACAATTAAAAAAAAAAAAAAAAATACCGTGGAAAGCCGTTGAAATGTGTTAAAACAGGAAAGTGATGTGATCTAATTTACTTTTTAAAAAGACCCCTCTGGCTGCTGAGCAGAGAATGGATTAAAAGGGCAATGGAAGAAGTGAGGAAGTCATTTAGGAGGCTATCAGAAGGCTGGTGGTTCAAACCCACCAGCCACTCCTTGGAAGCAAGATTGGGCAATCTACTTCCACAGTGATAAGGCCTCAGAAACCGAAAGAGGGGTTGCTGTGAGTCAGGACCAACTCAACAGCAGTGAATTTGGGATTTTTTTTTTTGGGGGGGGGGTTTGGCTGCTGAGCAGAGAATGGATTAAAAGGGGCAATGGAAGAAGTGGGGAGGTCATTTAGGAGGCTATTAGACTAATCCAAGCAACATATGCTGGCATAGAGCCTAGAGGTAAGGCTTGAAATACATTTGGGAATTTTCAGCAAAAAGATCACCATGTGAACCAAATGATATAAAGGACCACCACCATATTGGGTTAGAGATGGTATGTGATTATGTGTAATAGGAGAAAAGAGACCCCAAATTCAAACAGGTTCAATAGAGACACTTTTATTAAGCTTTGAACAGGACAAAGAGAAAACAAAGACAATCATCCTGGATGAGGGAAACCATCAACATGTAGAAAGCTGAATGGAGTCTGATGAGTCATGGCCATGAGGCTAGTTATATGTGATTGAAAAATACAGGGAATCATCACAAAATCGTGCGGTGCAGATTGATTCATCACTGTTGCAGGCAGGACTACAGAAGCAGGAAAAAGACCATGTTGGGGATTTGAAGACAGAAAAGTGTTACAGGAATGGTTCTGGACCTTGACTACTTGGATAGTGGTGGTCCGGATAGGTGGTGACTCATAACCATGCAGCCTGCATCTTAGCTACAAGGTGATTACCAAACAATACCAAGACCCCAACCTTAATTTAAATCAGAAAAAGACACACTCAGGCAAGTTCCCTAGTTCCTTGTGTAAGCATCATCTACTTTCAACCATACTCTTTCTGAAGGTAAACTGGTCCTCCCTAGATTTGTCCTGGAACTTGTCTACGAAAAGCCACAATGCTGGTTTAATGGTCAAGAAGAACCCAAATGGCATGTGAAAGTTATGTCAAGCCTCAAAATGGAGTTAGGGCTCCCACTGCAGACCAGTTTTCCACAAACCAAATGCTTTAGAATTTAAGCTCTAATACAGATGTAAAGCATCAAGTATTGTAATAGGGGAAACGATAACCCAGATTCAAACAGGTTTAATAGAGACACTTTTATTAAGCCTTGGACAAATCAATGACAGTCATCCAGGATGAGGGAAAACCATCAGCACAAGAATGCTAAATGGAGTCCACTGAGTCATGGCCATGTGGCTAATTAGATATGACTTTTGAAAAAGGGAATCATCACAAAATCATGATTGATGGTAGACAGCTTTCAAGACTGGTGCAGGTGGCTCTACAGAACCAGGGAAAAGACCATGATTGGCATTTGAAGATAGGAAAGGGTTACAGGATTTGTTTTGGGCCTTGACTACCTGGCTAGGTGGTGGTCCAGATAGGCTGTGACTCAAGACCATGCAGCCTGATTCTTAGCCACAAAGTAGATGTCAAAAAATATCAAATTAGAAAAGGACACTCTCAGCTAAGTTCCCTAGTTCCTTGTGAGTATAATCTACTTCCAACCATACTTCTACTGAAGGCAAACTGCTTCTCCCTAAGTGTGTCCTAGAACTTGTCTGTGCACAGCCACAATGCTGGCTTAATGGGCACAAAGAACCAAATGGCATCTGAAGCTTATGTCAAGCCTCAAAATGGAGTTAGGGCTCCCACTGTAGACCACAGCCTTCCACAACCCAAGCTTTAAAATTTAAGCTCTCATATAGTAAATACCATTTCTGTCAAAAATTCATAATCTGAATCTAATCAGAGGAAAACCCCAACAAATCTAAATTGAGGGCCATTCTGCAAAATAAGGTGTTGGCCAAGACTGTTGGAATATGCCCTTGACTGCCAGAAGAATGAACAAATCTGTCTTGGAAAAAGTACAGAGAGAATGCTCTACTTTTGACATGTTATCAGGAGGGACCAGTCCTTGGAGAAGGATATCATGTTTGACAAAAGACTCAACAAGATGGGTTGATACAGTGGCTGCAACAATGGGCTCCAATATAGCAAGGAGTGTAAAGATAGCACAGTACCAGGCAGTATTCCATTTAGTCCTACAAAGGGTAGCTATTAGTCAGAACTGACTCGATGGTACCTAACAAAAACAACATTGCGATTATTTAGTGGACTCAAGCTAGGAGCTCTGGTAGCTTAGTGCCTAAGGTATTTGACTTCTACTCCTCAGAAGGACGGTTGGGCAATCTACTTCTGTAGTGATACCGCCTCGGAAACCCAAGAAGGGGTAGCTGTGAGTCGTCCGACTCCACGGGGACGTAACAACAACAAGAAACATCAAAGATCATGAAGATGAGGAAGAACTTGGCAACCTTTTGTACTTTTACAGATGAACTACGTCAGAGCCTATTGGACAGCCACTAACAACACTGTGATAATTTGAGAATGCCCTTGTTTTTGGAAATAAACATTAAATTATTTAGCCATAAAGGTACATCAGTCTGCAATTTACTCTCAGAAAAAAAAAATGACAAAATGATAAAGCAAACGTAGCAATATGTTAGTGTTTGGAGAACCTAACAAGGATTTATGGGAATTATTCGTACTGGTTTTGCGGTTTTTCTGTAAGTACGAATTACTTCAAACTAAAAAGTTAAAATTACTGCGGTCATTTAGAGAGAGAATGTGAGAAGGTTATAAAGCGTAATAATAAGTCATGAGGAACAACAGCATTTAGACAAAACTTGGGAAGGTGAAAGAAAAGATCAAAGAATGTTCGAGTAGAATTCAAATGATATAGTAACAAAGTATACAATGGAAGTCATTAGCTTCTGTGCTCTTCATCCTCAACCTGTTGTTGTTGTTGTTATGGGCCGTGGAGTCGGCCCCGACTCATAGCGACCCCTCCTTGGGTTTCCGAGGCAGTTATCACTACGGAAGTAGGATTGCCCAACCTTCCTTCCGAGGAGTGGCTGGTGGGTTTGAACCGCCAGCCGTCTGGTTAGCAGGCAAGTGTCTTAGCCACTATGCTACCAGAGTTCCTTAAAATATGACCTGTAACTCTCCGTCTCAGATCACCGAAGTCAATTTCACGCCACAGGTACACGAAAGAGTTACCAAAACCAAACCAGTTCCGCCACATTTTCCCTGTGAGCATGCGTGTACGTAATCACCTCTACACCCCCGCGAACCAATCGGTGCCCACGTCGGTGTCTTGCTAACAGAAGGGGCGGGGCCAACCTTCCACACATGCGCATAGTCGGGCCGGCCTACTTCTTTCTCGCCGAACGCCGACAAGATGGTGAGTACCTCTGCTGCGGGCTCTGGGTCTGGTGACCATGCTGCTCGACCTCCTTTTGGCGAGAGGTTTTCTGAGTCTCAGAATAGTGTCTAGAAAGTTTCGGGCAGCGCGTGACAAGGGTCTGTGGGCAGTCGGTGACACAGTTCGAGTTCTCCCCGGACGCGGTGGCCCACGAGCCGATGAGCGCGTGTAGGGCCTGGCGCGCCTTGGACCCCGCGTGCGCGCCGCCGGCGTTGCAAGGCTGAGCCGGCCAGTGGCCTGGCTGGCCCTCGTCGAACGGAGCCGGGCTCACGGGCGAAGGGTTGCAGGACCCTCAGTTCTAGAGGCCGGCCAGAGCCAGGCTTTATCCTCCGCCATCATTCCTGACGGCTTCGTCCATCTAGGTTTGTCCCTGGCCCTTGGGCGTATTCCTCTCAGGTCTCCTGTTGCTTTTCTCAGCCACGTTGTCCTTCACCTGCAAGTCTTATAATCCTGCGTGGATTTTGATTAAGTCTTTTCTGTTTTAGGTGTTCAGGCGTTTCGTGGAGGTTGGCCGGGTGGCCTACGTCTCCTTTGGACCTCATGCCGGAAAACTGGTCGCGATTGTAGATGTCATTGATCAAAACAGGGTAAGTGTAAGGAAAATGTAATAGTTTTTATTTCATTTGGTGAACGGTGAATATCATAGGCGGAAGTACTTTGTATGGCAGCTTTATGTTACTATTGAGGAAACAGTATAGGACACACTTGAGTCAACCAGAACTACTTGGCTTGAGTGTTACCTCTGCCACTTTAACTAGCCGGACTTTTTAACCAGTTATGATGGGGGTAGAACATTGGTGAAGTTTAAATGAGTTACTGTATGTAAAGTTTAGCATTTAGAACCGTTCCAAGCACAAAAAAGGTGCTTTGTGCTTGCTAATTCTCAATATCTAAGGGTTGTGAACAAACAAAATTCTTTGCTAGGAATGTAAAGATTAAACACTTGAAATTGCCAAGTAGATTACCAGTATATGTCGATTGTTGATGTGTTGTAGTAATAGTTTAAAATACTGCTTAGAACATTTTTAAGGATGTAGAGTGACTGTTGAGCCAACATTGAGGCTATAGGATTTAAGTTGAAATTTTAAAAAGGCTACCGAAAAATAGGACAATCTCCCTTTTTCTGAGTATATTTAAGTAGTAGTGGTGAGTTGATGATGGTGAAAAGACAATTATACAGAATATCTGCTCTTTTGGATTACTTTTAGGTTTTGTAGTGAGATCTTTGATCTTATATATTTTAGGCTTTGGTTGATGGACCTTGCACTCAAGTAAGGAGGCAGGCCATGCCTTTCAAATGCATGCAGCTCACTGACTTCATCCTCAAGTTCCCACATAGGTATGTTGGGATGATTTTAATGTTCTAGATCACTTTTTTGGGGGCAGTTCTCTGGCCTTTATTTCTACTTAGACTCTAAAATTATTCTCTTTTGGTCCCTGTTTCTTTCAGGATTTCAAACAACAAAGTCCTCCCTAAGAAATTCTGGTCTCTCCCTGAACCTGTTTTACTTACTGTTTGCTTTAAAACAATTATGTTAAGTCTGTCTCTTTGAATACTAGATAGAGTTGAGTGCTTACTATGTGCATTTTTCAATTGTAAAAATATTTAATGCAGCATTTGGCAATTCACCATTATTCACATGTCCACTTCATTGGCATCTATCATGTACAGACATCATCGATCTATGTTGCCAACTGTTGTTTAAGTAATGTGCATCATCATTTGATTATGACAGCCAATATGGAGATTCTTTTACCCACCTGATGTAGTTGAGGTAATGAGAAGTAGTGATTTTTTTTTTTGACAGTGTAGATTATGGAAATTAAAACATTATAGTAGATGGCCAACAAGCACATGAAAAGATGTCCAACAAAACCACAGTGATATATCATTTCATACCCACTAGGATTGCTGTGATTTAGAAAAAGAAAACAACCGAGGTTGGGGAGGAATTGGGACCCTCATCCATCGCTGATGGAGATAGAAATAGAACAGCCAGTTTTCAGAAGCTCAACATAGAATTACCATATTATCCAGCAACTTAAATGTATATCAGTGGGAGCTCTGGTAGCATAGTGCCTAAGGCACTTGACTGCTAACCAGAAGACTGGCAGTTCAAACCCACCAGCTACTCCTCGGAAGGAAGGTTGGGCAATCTACTACTGTAGTGATACCCTCTCGGAAACCCAAGGAGGGGGTGCAACTCAAGGCACATAACAACAGGAGAATGGATAAGCGTAATGTGGTACATACATGCAATGAAATATTACTCAGCCATAAAGATAAATGAAGTCCTAATACATTATAAAACATGGATGATCCTGGGAAACATACTAGATCAAATAAGTCAGAAAGGACAAATATATGATCCCTTTTTGTGAAACATGTAAAATGGGCAAGTATATGGAGATCAGAGTTCATTAGTGGTTACCAGAGATGGATTGGAGGGGGAGGGGAAGACTGCTTGGGGACACTGAGCATAGGGTGATGGTTGAACAATATGATGAATGTTACTGAATTGGACATGTGAAGAATGTAGAAATGTCAAATATTTTCCTATATACTACTACAGAAAGCACTGGTGTTTTGCTATACTGTTATTTATTATGTTGGTTTTAATAACTCTACAGTCTCATCTTGCAGTCATTTATTCTTGAGTATACAGGGAAAGTACATCATACTCAATGGACTTACTGATCAGTGAGGAATAAATTGGGGAGGTACATTAAGGCTTTCAGGCCATTAGGACACCATTTAGTGCACTGGAAGTCATTTACAAGGTCCCTCTCAAAAGATGAGCCATTTAATCGCAGCTCACCCCTATGAGGCTGAGCAGTGGACGTTTACTAGCTTAATTTCCTCTATAGATTTTTTCTTTTGTTTTTCCCATTTTATAGTCAGGTCTAATTTAAATTTAATTAAAACTTTGTTATTTTGTTTTAAAAAAATAAAAAAAGATAGTTCAGATACTTCCTAGAAACCACTTAATTGATAAAAGCCAAACTCACTGCCATTGAGTGGGATCCGACTCATAGCGACCCCTCCTTGGGTTTCAGAGGCAGTATCACTACGAAAGTAGATTACCCAACCTTTTTTCCAAGGGTTGGATGGTGGGTTTGAACCGCCAGCCTTCTGGTTAGCAGTCACATGCCTTATACACTACGCCACCAGAGCTTCTTCCAATCGAAACTAAATAAGCGAAATATCACACTGCAGAGTGGATTCAGAGCTGTGGCTTAAGAGATCCCATGTAGTTTTCTGAAACCTGGTTCAAGTTGGCCAAGATGACTAAATGCTACAAAGCTAGACAGTTTGGAGTCTCGTATCACAGAGCTTTGGCTTGAGGTGCTTTTGGCTGTATCCTCCAAACATTTCAAAAGATCGTCATGGAAAGTACAGTCTATCCATCTCAAATCCTGGCAGAGAGGGTTAAAAGTACCATATAGATAAGCTCATGAATCTCACCATAGTTAGTATTGCAGTCCTCTGTGACAGTTTCAGTGGAACTGAAGTGACTATGTGACTTAACAGACTAAACAGTAAGTTTAATATTTAAATACTGCAACATGTTCCAGAGTACATTTTCCCTATTCCATTTCTTCCCCCTCCACTAAAACAGTAGGACAGAAATCAATGCTTTAAGCCTAGCACTTCAGATAGCTAATGCCTGGTGTATACATCATAGACGTGCAAGTACTAGTGGTTGAACAACTTTTCACTCAATCTAAAGTGAATGGTATGTCCATGCTTCTGCTTTTAGTTCTTTAGAAGAGGTTATGCAAACTTGTCGGGATAGATGTGTGCATTTGAAATGTTAATGTGACCGGATACCTTTCCCAGGGCAGTAGGTTGCACCAGAGATGATTTTGCCTATTTTTCCCCCAGCATGAGATTTCGCCCCTTGGCATGGGTAAACTTTTCTAATGTGTACAATTTCATTTCCTTAACTACAAGTGAATCGAGCATCTGTTGCTATTAGCCATTTGCATTTTTTCCATGAAGAGGTATTTAAGTAGTGAATTTTTACTTACGGATTATTAATGCAGGAGTATTGCCCTAGACCTTTATTTGTCCATCTAGTCACTATGGGTCAGAACTGGCCCAACAGAAACTACCATCAGAGTACAGCATTGTTTTGAAGCATAGTTAGGGATCAGTGTTGAGGATTTTTGTTGAACTTAATGGCAGAGAAGAATTTCTGGTGGCTTAACCTTTTCAGGGCACTCTTGTCTTACGACTGGTACACACTGGGCTTACTGGGTTAGTGTGTGTGTGTGTCTGTCTGTCTGTCTGTCTGCATGCACGCACACCAAGTTTTGATACTTGAACTATTTGCATCTGAAAGAAATTTCAAAAAGGTTATAATTGGATTTTAGGCTATTTGCAAAGCTTTAAACATTTGTTGTACAAAATAAATACTAGACCTAACAATTAGCTTTGCCTTGTTGTTATAAATAAATTTTCTACGTATATATTATTCTGAGTGGTATTATGATGTATGTGGTCAAAGGTGATTTTTATGTCCATGAGATTGACCAGTTTTCAGTTTTGATTAAAATTATGCAATTTTAAAGCTGATTCCTTGATCTATGGTCCTGACTTTTCCTAGTGCCCGTCAGAAGTATGTCCGGCAAGCCTGGCAGAAGGCAGATATCAATACAAAATGGGCAGCCACAAGGTGGGCCAAGAAGATTGAAGCCAGAGAAAAGGTAATATCTTGGGATTATTTGACTATTTCTGACCTTTTCTGTTTTAGAGGCTGGGAGGGTAGTGCCAGAGGGATAATTTATTTTTCTTTTTACAGAAAGCCAAGATGACAGATTTTGATCGTTACAAAGTCATGAAGGCAAAGAAAATGGTAACGTTCTTAAGTTTTGGTGAACTTACACATTTTAAATTAGGACTGCATATGTGTCTAGCTTTGCTTCAGGATAATAAGGGAGCAATAAGTTCCCATTTCAAGCTGCTAACCTCTTGAGTGTTTTGTGTGAAAGAGAATTTATTCTCATTCATTATAGTTTACTGTGTCCTTAGGAATTCTACCCACCTTTCACAGACAATCAGCCAGAGGTTCTTTACCATTTTGATTAAAATTGAATCCTCTTGGAAATACAGAGAAAGCCAAAAAAACAAACTTGATGCCATCACGTTGATGCCGACTCACAGTGGCTAAGTGCCTTTAAAAAAAAAAGAAAAGAAAAAATTCCTCAACCTACATCTTTAATTCATTAAAGCTTAAATCTATTATAGGTATTTGAAAGATACGTGGAATATTATGAGTAAAATGTCTTCTTACTAGAGATGGGAAATTACAGAATTAAGGTGGTATTTGTAGTCTAATCCAAGAGTTCTTTGTACACATATACAACAAATACTTTACTACTTTGAAATTTTTCAGAGAAACAGACTCATAAAGTATGAAGTTAAGAAGCTCCAAAGAGCAGCTCTTCTGAAAGCTTCTCCCAAAAAAGCAACTGCTGCAAAGGGGGCTGCTGTAGCTGCAGCAGCTGCTGCAAAAGTTCCAGCGAAGAAGGTGACTGCTGCAGGCAAAAAGGTTCCAGCCCAGAAGGAGAAGGCAGCAGGCCAGAAGGAGAAGGTTTCTGCCCAAAAGGAGAAAGCTACAGGCCAGAAGGGTGGGCCTCCAAAAGCTCAGAAGGGTCAGAAAGTGCCAGCCCAGAAAACACCTGCGCCAAAGGCAGCAGGCAAGAAAGCATAAAAGGCTGTTAATAAAAGTAATAAAGTTTCTTTTTGACATGCTGACAGTGTTTGCACCAGTAGATTTAAAACCTGTTCTTGGGGCTGGGGTTCAGAGGCAGATTCAAGTGAAATTGTTAGTTCCATCCTTAGACAAATTGATTTCCTTTTTTTCCCCTTGTGCATATATCCCATATGTATTTAAAATGTGAACCTCTTGATGCTTTATTATTATGTACTATTGAGTCAGACCTGACTCATATCATCCCCTCCTTGGGTTTCCAAGGTGGTTTCACTACAGAAGTAGATTGCCAAACCTTCCTCCTGAGGAGTGGCTGGTGGGTTTAACTGCCAGCCTTCTGGTTAACAATCAAGTACCTTAGACACTATGAAATTCTCCATATAAAAATAACACTAGAAGAGGAGCTTACAGATTGGTTAAAATGGAAAAAGTCCTAGGTGCAAATTGGTTGAAGGTTCAAGTGTACTCAAAGATACCTGAAGCAAGTCCTGGACATCTGCTTGAAAAAAAAATCACCTGTTGTAAATGGCTACAGAGCACAGTTTTCTGACAACATCTGCTTTATTACAGTGAAAATAAAGCTTTAGGTCACTAGGTACTTGTCGCACCAAAACCAAATCCAGTGTCACCAGGTTGACTTCATCTCATAGTGACCCATAAAGCAAGATAAAATTGCCCTATAGGGTTTCCAAGGCTGTAAATCTATGGAAGCAGAATGCTTCATCATTCTCCCACAGTGGCTGGTAAGTGTGAACTGCTGACCTTTTGAGTAGCAGCCAAATGCTTTAACCACTGTGCCAGCAGAATTCCTATCATTTTCTAGAAGATGGCATGAGAAGGTGCTGCAAGACAGGAAGAAAATGAAACCTATAGGGAATGTAGAGGAGGACTGGTTAGAAGCTACAAAACAAGCAGGTTAATTGTTAAATCCAGTAAGGGTAGGGTTTTGGGAAGCTGGTGAAAAAAGTGAGGCATCATATTTAGATTGTACTGTTAAAGAGGAGCAAGACTGAATGGTGGTCTTAAGGTTGGAGTTAAGGTCTGACCTAGAAGAGGTAATGGTGATGCCACTTTAGTAGGCTTTGATCATGTATTGGACCTGGAAGGAAACAACTAATAAGGGATTCTAGTCTGTACCTGTGGTTCACTGGCTGTGAGAACACCGGTGCTGAGCAAAGGTTAGCCAAGGGAGATGATTTTAGATGCTGGATGGGTTAAATATACCACAGACTGCTCCTTAGAAGCAAGGATGGAGACTACTCACTTTTGATGTGTTATCAGGAGGGACAAGTCTGTGGAGAAGGACATCATGCTTGGTAAAGTAGAAAACCAAAACAAAACTCTGCCCTCGGGTCAGATCCAACAGGTCAAACCCCGCTTTGGGTTTCTGAGGTGGTATCATATGGAAGTAGATCACCCAATCTTATGGGGTGTGGCTTCTGGTTAGCAGTCAAATGCCTTAGAGGGTAAGCAAAAAAGAGGAAGACCCTCAGATTGACACAGTGGGTACAATGGTGGGCTCAAACAGCAGTGATGGTGAGGATGGTGCAGGGCAACCCAATGTGTGTTCTGTTCGTAAGGTCACTATAAGTTGGAACTGACTGGACGGCACCTGACAACAATGTCTAATTTAACTCATTATTTCTTCAAATCCCCACTTATCCATGAGTATGTGTCACAGGGAAATTAATAGCCCAGTGGTAGGAACTCTTGATAGTTATGAAGAGGAGAGATGAGAAGGTAGATGGGGAATTTGTGAGCATGTAAGTGGTCATAAGATTGCACAGAGGGTGAGTAAACAAATGGATAGAAAAGAAGACTGGAAGATGTTATCAGAAAGAAAAATAGGCAACTGTGGAAGTACTGAAGAGCATTCTGGTTGAGACTGTTAAGGTGAGAGGGCAGTAAGTGAAATGTTACTGGCAGAGGAGGGTGTTTGAGATTTTGTTTTTGTAAAGTTGGCGAAAAAGTTTGAATGATTCTGGAAAAGGAATTTATTGGCGAAAAGCTTGGTCCTAAAGAACACACAACAGAATGGAATCCAGAGTAGGAGGGATTAGTTTTAGATTAGAGGAGTGGAAGGGATGTCCTTTGCATGAGGAGGAAAGGTAAGAAAATGTGGGTTCATATGCTAAATCTTTCACTGTCAGGAAATAGTGTGAGTTTCACTTTATCCTCTGGAGTTAAGCAAGGTCAAATACTGAGAACGCGAGATAAAGGGATGCAGATTGTAGGGACTAAAAGTTTGAAAAAGGAGCTGAGGTGGCGCAGTGGTTAAACACTTGACTGCTAACCAGAAAGTTAGCAGTTTCAATACACCAGCTGCTCTGAGGGAGAAAGATGAGGCAGTCTGCTTCCATAAAGATAGCCTTGGAAACTCCATGGGGCAGTTCTACTCTGTCTTATGAGTTGGGATCAACTCTGGCTTTTTTTTTTATTATTTTTTTAAGGTTTGAAATGGGAGCTCTGGTAGCATAGTGGCTAAGGCACTTGACTGCTAACCAGAAGGCTGGCGGTTCAAACCCACCAGCCACTTGGAAGGAAGATGGGGCAATCTACTTCCGTAGTGATAACTGCCTCGGAAACCCAAGGAGGGGTAGCTATGAGTCGGGTCCAACTCGATGGCACATAACAACAACAACAATAACAAGGTTTGAAATAGTGGGTTGTGGAGGAAGGGGGAGACAGCTGCTGTCAATTGCCAGGGCCATTGAAGGCCTTTGTGGCTCCAGTCTGACATGCTCAGAGTAGAACTTCAGGCTTAGAGTATAAGAAAGCTTCAGGATGGAAGCAGTGTTCAAGCTGCACCTAGAAAACAGTGTGATATGGAAGAGTGGAAATTGGAAATTCCAATATAAAGGACCTTCAGAGAAGTAAATGAGGCATGTTGTTGTTGTTATTTGCCATTGAGTCGGCCCCGACTCATAGTGACCCCTCCTTGGGTTTCCGAGGCAGTTTCACTACGGAAGTAGGATTGCCCTACCTTCCTTCCGAGGAGTGGCTGGTGGGTTTGAACCGCCAGCCTTCTAGTTAGCAGTCAAGTGCAAATGAGGCATAGGGCACCTGAGAAAGTAGTGGTGGTTGTCTGCTGTCGAGTCATCTCCAACTCATAGTGACCCCTCCCTGGGTTTTTTGAGGTGGTATCTCTAAGGAAGTAGATTGTCCAATCTTCCTTTCGAGGAGTGGCTGGTGGGTTTTTACCACCAGCCTTCTCAGAGGTTAGCAGTCAAGTGCTTTAGGCATTATGCCACCAGAGCTCTCCCTGAAAGAGTAGGAAATACAATTAGTGAAGTAGACCAGATAATGGAGGTTTTTGAACTAGGGAGAAATCGTCAGAAAGATAAATTTGGCAGCACCTTTTGGATTGAGGTGGGGCAGGAGACCATGAGGCTTTAAAAAACAAGGCACATAACAACACTTTAAATATAGAGAACTACACACTTGTCCCATTACCCTTGCTAGAGAAGAGAGGATGCTGTGGGGCAAGAATACTGATTTCAGAGTTGGAGCCAGGTTTAAATCCTGTCATTGAGCCTGAGCTCATTTTTGAACCTCATCTACAAAGTCAGCTTACACAAACATTTTTAATGGTTACCAGAGACAGGAGAGGGTCAGAGGGAAAACCACTACCTAGATAGTAGACACGTGCTGACTTTGGTGAAGGGAGAGGCAATGCACAATATTGGGGAAATCAATGTAACCAAAGCAAAGGAAGAGAGTTGAAGCAAGAGCTAAAGACAACAAAGGTAAATGCTACTACATCTACAATTCTGCAACAACTGTAATAGTAACCTACATAGTGGATACAGCTTCCTTATGTAAGCTGATCAGGGGTGGGAGGGCATAAGGGGCTGGTCATGTATTTCCTTTCCCTTACTTCATATTATTCCTTTCCCTCTCACCTATTCAGTGAAATACCTTAAGTTAAAAGGTTAACTCTAGGAAGACTTACCTAACTTTCCAGAGTTCCCTGCTGCTTTTCTTTTTTCTCATAATGTATCTCTGGTGGCATAGTGCCTAAGGCATTTGACTGCTAACCAGAAGACTGGCAGTTCAAACCCACCAGCCACTCCTTGGAAGGAAGGTTGGGCAAAGTACTTCTGTAGCGCTATCACCTTGGAAACCCAAGGAGGGGTCACTATGAGTTGGACGCGACTCTACGGCAGTGAGTTTGGTTTTGGTTTGACACATCTATTACAGATAGCCCTGGGTGCACAGTTAGCTGGATTTTTTTTTTTTTTTTACCATAAGAAATGAAAATAGGACAGTTGAAACTAAATTTCTTATGGTAAAAAAAAAAAAAAAAACCTAAATTAAATGGCCATTTGATTTACCTCCAATTCCACTACCTTCTGCAAAGAAAACCACTGTGTATGTCCATCTACACATTGCTCTATTCATTTACAATATAAGTACACAAAAATAGTTTATTTTAAACAAAAATGGTAGCATGCTACACCTCCTTTTTTCTCATATTATGTTCTAGAGATCTTATCTAACCAGCTTTTATTAATCTACCTAATAAATTCTTTTTGTCCCCTGCATAAAAATCCATGGTATGGATGTTCATTTCATCATTCCTTTATAGATAGACATTAAAGATGGTGCCAGTTCTTTTGTGTGTGTGTGTGTGGGGGGGGGTTTCCCCCATTATATTAAACAGTGATTTAGTGAATATTCTTGTACATGCCTTCTCTATATGTCAGTGTTTAGCCAGGGCACATTACCAGTCAGTGCAATTGTTAGGTTGAAGAATGTATGCATTGCCATCACCTGTATAGATGTTGTTATGTGCCGTAGGCTCTAACAATTTAGACTTCTGTCAACAGTGGATGAGGACATTTCTGCCTTGCAATCTCAAACTCCTGACATTACTTTTAAGATTTTTGCCAGTTCAACGTGTGAAAAGTAGAATCTTAATTTAATTTGCATTTTCTTGGCCCGATACCATATGCTAATTTGCCCTAACTTTATGTTTTGTTTAGATTGCCATTAAGGCA